TAACAAACGGGCCACGGACCGCTCGCAATCTTTCCTTCCACTTCCTTGTCCTATTCTCACAATACACTAACATACACTAGACACTCCGGGAGACCGGTTGGGAGCTTGGAGCTTGTTCCGGTGCTCCGCTCGTGTAAGATACTTGGTGGAGTAAATCCCGTTAGTCGACGATATGTCGGCGCCAAATGTTACCATCCAGCAGGGGAAGATTACCGCCACCTCATGATGAACCCCACGCCCTACACTTATGGAACTAATAACCTTGGCAGTTGACGTGCCAGGAATCACTAATCAATCAATTAAAAACCACATCCATGACCACCACCACCATCACTGTCGCTTGTGCCACCACTACCTCCGCAACCACCGCCGATGCCGCCTCCCCCACCCTCCCCCACTGTCGCTGCACCTGGCACAGGAGGCCGCGCGGGGCCCGCTGGGGGCACGGGGCGTGCCTGGGCGGGCGCCCGCGGGCGGAGATGAGTATTGCAGCGGAGGGGGGGGGGAGGGGTTCGGGTGACGGGTGGAGAATAGCGGCAGGTCGCAGGGCGAGGTTGGAGGATAAAGCAGGGCCTCGCCCCGCCGCACCGTTTGTATGGAGGCAGCCGGCGCGGCGGTGCCCGTGAATAGGGGAGCACCTGGGAGGGCACGTGACGCTCTGCGGGCGGACGCGCGGGCTCGAACCGTTCGGAGCGATCGGCGCTCCCACACAGAGGCTCACGCAGTCCAGAAAGCTCGGCACGCGCTTTCTCCGGCGACAAAGAAAAGAAAAAACCAAGAGCAAGCCCAATTTCATACTCGCGGAACACGTGAAGTAAAAGAAGAGTTCGATGAAAAACGTAGGCTTCCGCGGACAGCCCAGATCACCCAAAAGAATAGTTCAGTGGTAAATGAGAACGTGGCACACAACCTAAATTAAATTTTGTTTTTAATTATTTACTTATTGTACAGACATTAAATTAATGCGTAGGGTACAGTTAGAGTTACAATACTTCCATTATGGAAAGACAGAACACTTCTTATAAAATTGTTTAATATAATAATTTATTTTTCTTGAAGACATATGACTACTGACAAAATATATACTTCAATCATTGTCATCACTTGCACAATCACTCAATAGGCCTACTTCATTATCACTACTATCTTTTCCACTGTTATATCAGAGGCATTAGATGGATGATGAAATCTCTCTCAACAATTGAAACTTTGCTTTGCTCTTTTTGTAAGTCATTAAATGAGGGGGGTTTTGGGCACCTATCAAAAAGCAGTTGACAGGACTGTCGCATTCCATAGAGAAAAGGACGTAGATGTAGATATAGTTGGTCTACGGATTTTGGCGGTTGTTAGATGAGATAGTTGAAGTTGAATGCCATTTATTTATACGACCATGAAATGCTATGATGTGGGGATTCAAAAATGTTCAAAAAAGCTTCGTACATCATATCGCACCTCCAACAGAAGGGACACAAGTGCGAATTTCTGATTTATCAGAAATTGCAATTTTAAGTTTCGTAGTTCTGTAATACTCATTATAGATTGTACCAAATATTCACCTTCTAGCGGACAGTATTTGAACTAATTCAAAATCAACTTCAGAATAGTAGCAGTACGTCTTGGTAACCTCTTATCAGCTTTTAGCTGAAAAATGACGATTTCGCACTTGTGTAATTTTTTTTTATTGGAGATGCGATATGTCTATATTGCATTTAAAAGTGGTACCTCCTTTCTAAAAAAAAGAGGACATTTCGTCTTGTCTTGTAAAATCCACCCGGACAGTTTTTCTTACTTAAAAAAGAGGACATAATAAACAAAGTAACCAATATAATAATTCTGACAATATCACAGTATTAGGGATCCCCAGATTGTTAATAAGTTGTAAACGAAGCGTTGAAGCGATTATAATGTGATTTTTTAACGATTAAGGGAGAGCCGATTTTGCATCTTTCGTGTGGGCGTTCAAATTCCAGAAGCGTATCAGTAGTTATTTTACTTATAGGGAACAGAGCGATTCAATCAACTCACACCAAGAATCTCTAAAGACTTCAAAATTAAAGCAAATTGTATAAAAAAATAATAAAACGTACGTTCATGATTAGATTTCCCACAATAGCCCAACTATGTAACGCTTCACAACATGAAAACATCGATCTCTACAGTGATCGTCGCGAAAGATATCGATGAAACTCTGACCCCCAGACGTCCTGTTTTTGTAACTCATCTTTGCACAATGGCTACATCTGCGTTCCATTGTACTCAAGCAGAGATGACATCCTAAAATTGGCACGCCACGGTTGCGTAACGTTTCGTATCACTGTAATCTCTGCATCCACGCTGCTGTCAATTGGCTCGAAGGATGTGCGAAGGCGCGCCCTCAATTGAGGCTAGTATGTTAGGAACAGACCTATCTACCGCGATGCAATAAATCATAAAGTATTTATTCAGTTTTGATTTTCATTCAATGGTGCATATTCCATAGTTCATTAAATGAATTATGTAATAACAATGTGGTATAGGATGCTCGTATAAAATCATATTTACGTTCAATAATTTGTTCTGAAGTTCTGATCAACATGAGCGAAAGACGAAAAAAATACGAACATGAAGGCGTATTCGTATTTCACACAAGATTAAAGGTATAGTTCATTTTGAAGTATTCTAATAGATATAAGTATACTAAATTATTTCTTGTGAAAAGTACCGAGTGTATGTCAGAATATTACTGAACATTCTTTGAAGTACGTATTGAGTTTTCAAACCGTATTTGAAGAATAAAATGTAGGTATTGTTGAACACTTCGTCTTCTTGCTTAATGATTTACATTTTATTCGTTTGGAGTGTGTAATACATAATCAACTATTACTCCTAAAAGTATACATTTTTTTCTAATAATTTCAATTTTTAGCCGATAGACTTTTACGTTATCTTCAGAAAAGTTGAGAAGAGAAGGTAATTTACAAAATCAGAAAATTCAAAACTTCATTATTTTTCTACACAAAGTCACTTATTCTAAAGTTATAACATGCTCTCTCTTGTAATGACTACTGATCTTCGTTTTTCGCACGAGGCACCAAAACCTGTCAACTTGCTCAGAGTTATTATTTAGGCATAAATTGCGGTACATTTAAATGAATACTGACCGAATTCAACATTTCAAAATGCGTAAATGAATTTCCAGCTTGGCTATTAGATGTGAGCATCTTGAAATACAAATTTCACCTTAGATTTTAAGACATTTTTGGTTTGAGGAAACATAACCTGGCTCTACAGCTCTTGTAGAAAATCCACAACCGTTAGGATTCGAACCCAAGGATCTCCCGTTGTATTAGTGCAGACATTCGAAATACTGGCTCTGAGCTAAACTCTACAGGTGCTATTACTTGACATACGAATAGCTTCAAACGGCCGGCTGAGATTATGTTGGTGTGGCGGCAAGCGGTCAGTGATAAATTTCTGCTCGCGTAAGAGAGGTAAATTTGACCATTCACGCGACGTTCCTACGACGTTTCTCGACTCTTAATCGATTTTAAACTATAACGGTATCTTAATATTTAGCGGTTCAAGGTTTCAGTACACGCATTTCTCTACAGAATTTGGTTTCAAAAATATAACAACTTCAAAATTCGACTTTCAAAAGATCGTTTAAGTAGATCGTTTAAGACTTTGCAAAGATCACTTTGAAATTCTGCTCACAAAGCTTCCGTTGCAATCCACTTCACGATTAGCGAAACTTGCATTTTATTATCAATGTTATTTTACTCGATAGCTACTTAAGTGGCTCCTACTACATTTAGAGATAATCGCAAGCATAATACACTGACAGTTTAACTGCATTTATGCATTACTCGCACACAAAGGGTTTTGTTCCAACAGTTGTTAGAACGAAGTGCGCGGAAATACGAGTAATTACAAAACGTGTGTAACCGAAAGCGTCCTGAACAGTTACAGCCGTACTTCCTCGACACATCTTTGCAAGGACGGGAGGACACGACACATTTGTATTTCCAAGTACATACAATAGCTTCATTCTAATTTCATTTGTTTTCTAATCACAATTTCTGCATAACATTTTATAACGGTTATAATTATTGGTTAAAACACTACTTTCAAACTGTAAAACGATAACATGGTCTACACAAAAAGGTTTTGTCGTCCATCATCTGTCAAATAGTGAAAAGAACGTGGATAAGGAATATTATCGAAAGGCATCTGAACTGGCGCGGGCAGGTGGGAGAAGAGCAAAACCCATCGGGCGTTCATATTCATTTGTAACGAAGAGAGCCGACGAGCATGCTCCCAACCATTACTGCTCTAAGCGCCGCCGCCATTATCTCCTTGGCGTTTCCTTATTTTATTCAGAGTACTATTGCATTCATGACGAGCTGTAACGTAACTGGAACTTTGCAATAAACTTCGTGAATCTTGTGAACTTCAATAAACTGGTGGTGCAGCACAAACTTTCTCGCGTTATTTGTAACGGCTACGTTACAATACAAGAAAATGCTAAGGTGCTTTGAACAGCAAAAATTATTAATCCGAGTTGGAATTTGAACTAGACTTTTTAGAGACAACACGCCAGTCACATTGCCTCAAGCACCAGCCTAACAGCAAAAGGCAGCCTTATTTATGAAGTTAATTTCACCAGCTGCCCTAATTTCTTTAATTTTATATTATAATGCGTCATACATAAAGGTTTTAGACAGACATACGTTATGTAAGAGAAACAACCTTTGTGCCATATTATATTTCATTTATTTATAAGAAAAACTTTTTTCATGTACAACGCTTCGGGAACGTTTCGTTTCGGGATGGGAACAGAAAGATTCCCGAAACGTTGTGTATGAAGTTTTTATAAATAAATGAAACTTATGAAAGAACGGTTGTTCCTTTTACATAATGTACGAATGCCTAAAAAAATAAATATAGCATGTATTAAAAAGGGTTCGAATGAGATTTTCGAATGCTGTTGCAACTAGTGCAGCAAGTTTTGGTGCACTTACCTTAGGGTTTTTCTTTGACTCCCTGACGCTGAGGCGTCTTTCTCGTTCATTCAGCAACTGTGGACGACCTTGTTGAGGCACTGACAGGATTCTATCCGCTTTCTTATACTTCCTAAAGATGTAACCAATCGTCGAACGAGAAATATTGAATAGAGAATTTATTTCTCTTTCTATTTTTCCCTTTTCGTGTTAAAACATGACTGTCTCGTTGTTCAAGACTTTTTGCCCCATTTCATAAAAGCGATTCCCAACCCTCTGGAGACCTTCACGTTCGTATACTCGTAGAACACTGAATTTCCACGGTTTCTCTCCGAATTTATATCAGTTTTTTCGGGGCAGTTGCGAAAAGCTCTAGTGGCCGAATATTAAATTAGAACATTTTCGCGGTAGTTCAAACGAATAATTGTACAGTTAAAATAAATTTAATTTCATGAGTCTGATATTCAGGGATATTCCAGAAAACATCATCAGGCATACTAGTGCCGTTTTTCACTTTCTACGATTTGTGAATAGGGCATAAACCATTAAAAAAATCGAATAACCAGCGGCCGAATATTAAATTGTAACATCGTTCGTCGCTTTTGAAATAATCTCGGCTGCGTTGCGTGGAAGGGGAAAGGGGCGAGGTCGGTAGTGACAAGGGTCTACGGCGCCCGGTTTTCCTGCTTCCAAGTTCGCGCAGGTCCCGCAGGTCCCCCTCTACCCTGTAGGTGTCGCTAGCGACCTCACCCTTCTCCAGTGAAACAACCCGTCGAATAGTGGTCGGACAGCACATCTTCCTGCTCTGGCTATCGCGGTTCAAAGCCGTTTCCGCCCAGTGGACTTTGGGAAGGAAAAAACAGGCTCCCCTGTTGCTGTGTCTTTCGTTCCGCCATGGCTCCATCACTATTGACAACGTGCCAAAATTATCACCATCTGTCACTCATCCACCAATTCATTCATCACAGTTATGGTTATAACAGCTAGGCAAATAAAAAGGATAGTTTCTCCTCTCCCACACAACACTGCCTACCTGTAGTGTAACCTGGTGCGGCGCTGCGCCGAATACAAGTATGATTGGGATTATGCCTCCTAAAGCCGAGGGAAAGAATTATATTCGTGCCAGTCGCTAGTGAAATACTCAGTCATTTATTACAGCTATAGATCAACGATAGCTGCTTGTGAACCTCAAAGCAGAATTTAAATAACTATTTGTAAGTAGTTTAAAGATAAGTATTGTTCTAGGAAAACAATGTTTATTATTAAATTTAGTCTCGCATGATTTCTCATTTTCTTAAGTTGGCAATACCTAAAGTAGGTTAGGCTGACTTAGGCTTCCGTACTTTTCTTTCTTTCGGTGTTGAATATTAGTCCACATTGTTCACTGTTGAAAGTGAATTGAATGAAAGTAAAATATACTTTCACCGTATAACTTCAACAATAATTTTAAAAGAACTGCACGCGGAAGTTTATCCCTAAGAGCCTGTACTAATTTAAAATTGTTTTATTTTAAAAATATTCCGGTAAGGGCCAATATTTTCCTTATCTTGAAGTTTTCTCGAAAATGATTTTTCCACAGGAAACGGATTGCAGCAAACTTCCTTGAACAATAGTAACAGTTTTCATTATCTTTTGTTGAAATAATTAAGGGACATAGTATACGACCTTACAAAATTGGATGTTAGTACAGAATGATAGGAAATTCCTTTCAATAAAGACTAATTGGAAAACGTGCGTCCCTCCGCGAAGCCTCATTCTCAATGCAAACTTAAACGTAAACGTAACGTTGCTGCAAAACCGAGAAATGAGTTAATGTGCACGACCTCACGCCCTCACGTAACCGTAGATGTAAATCCGTAAATCCCTAAACTTAAAGTTCACAAGCACCAAGCCTTACGTATACTTTGCGTCGGAATTCAACCGACGCCCAATAAGAGAGCAGAAAATAATAATAATAATAATAATAATAATAATAATAATAATAATAATAATAATAAGTCTCCCAAAGCC